TGCCAAAAGGCAGGAGTGTTGTCAGCTTGACCTTCAGCCCAGGTGCCAGGGGGTGGGTTTTGTTATTTAAATCCAGCCAAGCACCAGGAATGAATACGACTCAGGCCCACCCAAGAATGCACAAAATCTCCTTTGTCTTGACTTTTAGTAAAACTTCCTGTTTTTTGCTGTATAAAATAAACACGCTGTATAAAATAAACACGGGTGTATAGGCTCTGGGTCCCTGTCCCTGTCTCTCCATCAGATGTCAGTGGCCCCACCCAGCCCCAGCTTTTTTCTTCCACCTCTGTGTCTGTCTCTTTCTTCCATTTTCTCAATCCCCAGCCGCCCCTACTCAGGAACCAGACTTCTCTCTAGCTGCACTGGACTCAGAGAAAAGAGAGAAATATTTACATATATATATGTTTATGAACATTCCTTGGGCACTGGAAAACTGCTTTTAGACTATAGAGCTTTATATATATACACACACACACACACACACACACACACACACACACATATCAATTATATCTCATTAATTATAGCATTAACATCTCCCATATATTTCTCTTGTCCATTTGAGCTGTCATGGGTTGGAAAGCATGGATCAGTCTCCTTATACTAATGCATTTCTTATTAATGTAATTTCTGAAGTTTTTCTTAATGAACTTGAATACTATGCTATCAGATGCATAGAGATATTCACAACTGTCAGATCTTCACTAAGGATTGCTTTCTTGAACATTACAACATGCCCTTCTTCCCCATTTGTAATGTGTTGAACCTTTTCCAATGCGAACGTTGTGATTTGTCTTCTTTTTCTTTTGTTAGCTCAATATGCTTTTCTGTATTCTTTTATTTTCAACATTGCTGAGTAACTTTATTTCAAAACAGCCTATGTTTAGGCTTTGGGTATTTAAAATCCAATTTCAGTGATTTTAGAACATTTGTACTTGCTGATAGGAGAGATTTGGCCTTGTGCAGTTATTGTGTTTTATGTTAGCACTAGAGGCCCGATGCACAAAATTCGTGCAAGGGGCTGGGCCTTCACAGCCCCAGCTTCTTGGCCCATCGCAGCCCCAGCTACCTCATGGCCCCGCCCACTGGTCATTCTGGAAGTTCGTTCCACCATCTGGTCTAATTAGCATATTAGCTCTTTATGATTGTTTGTATTGCTTTTAAAAATGTTTCACTAAATTATCTGTGATTTCCATATTTTATCTGATGAGTATTCACTCTGGTAATTTAGAAAGTTTGTATTTTAAAAAATCTCACCTAGTTGATTCCTCAAAAAGCAGAGCCTTAAACAAACCATATTATTGTTCATTTGTTTTTTCAGTCAGGCTATGTCAAAAACGAAGAATGAGAAACAAGGGAAATGAGGCAAATGGAAGGAATGTCAGTACAAGACTAGTACCAAGTTAGCTGCTTGGTTTCAAACCAATTGATTGCTCAATCCTAAAGGTCAAATGGGAAAACATTCCCATTTTACAAATGAGGACAAAGGTTGAAGAAGTTGCCCAAAGTCACATGACTAACAAATGGCAGTGCTGAGATTTAAGCCTACTCTCTCAACTAACACTATTATCTTTTCATTCTGTCACGAGTTCCTTTCTTCACCTTTCCTAAGTGCCTACTCTCTGTGCCTGACAGGGTGCTAGGAAAACAAATAATCATCTCTATGCTAACTGAGATCAGTTTAATGAGCACTATAGGCCATTGCTGTCATTAATGCTAATCCCTGCCATTCTTTTTTCCTTTTTACAACTGCTGTCTGTACATGTTCTCAGTGCTCTATGGACAACTCTTGCCTTTTACCTGTATCTCCTCAGTGGCCCTTTCCATATATAAAGTGAAATGACACATCACTTTACTTGGTAATTATCAGTAATTTGTGGGTTTCATAATTGTTCATTGAGCTCCCAAAAGATATTCCTTCAGAATTGCTTCCTATTTTCCTTTTTCAGTTTCCAGTATTTTCAAATGCTTCAAAGTGGCAATACAGTGATCTCTGGGGAATCAGTGAAAAGCAGCGATTTTCAACCAGCATGCCACAAATTTTTTTTAAAATCTACAATACCTATTAGGGACCCTGACCTCTTTCCCTTAGTTTTTTAAAAAAAAAAAAAAAAAAAAAAAAAAAAGACAACTGTAAACATAAGAATAGCTGCCCAGTGTGAATGGATAAAAAATATAGCTATTTTTTTTTTGTCAGTTTGGCAAAATATATTTTTTTTGGTGTGCCACAGAATTTTAGTAATTAGTTTGTGTGCCAGGAGATGAAAAAGGTTGAAAATCGTTGGTCTAAAGCAGTGGTTCTCAACCTGTGGGTAGCGACCCCTTTGGGAGTCAAACGACCCTTTCACGGGGGTCACCTAAGACCATTGGAAAACACATATATAATTACATATTGTTTTTGTGATTAATCACTATGCTTTAATTATGTTCAATTTGTAACAATGAAATTGGGGGTCACCACAACATGAGGAACTGTATTAAAGGGTCGCGACATTAGGAAGGTTGAGAACCACTGGTCTAAAGAATGCTCCTTCCCATATAATGAGCTTGCTTTATGAAGACCATAGATTTTTTAAAAATGATATGAGAGAAAATCCTATTATTTCAGCAGACATATCACTTTTTGGCATATTTACTTAAATACTAACTGAATTTCCCACCTTTATTATGTTCCAATACAAGTGACTTTAATATTACTGGTTTTAAATAGTAAGTTACCTCAACAAACCAAAAGAGTGTTAAGGGAAAAGAATATATTAAGAAAAAAGATTACTATTACTTAAAAAACAAAATTTTAAATACCTCAGAATTTCTAATTGTAATCTTCATCTTCTTGTCATCAGCAGCCTAAATAAGATATGGACTTGTAGTAGATAGAACTGTGTCCACCTGAAAGATGTGTTCAAATCATACTATCTAGTACTTGTGGATGCAACCTTAGGGGCTTTGTAGATGTAATCAAGTTAAGATGAGGTCATACTGGATTAGGGTGAAACCGAATCCAATGATAGGTATAAGAAGAGGGACACAGACACAGGCACAGGACAGGAGACAGAGGGTGAAAGGTCATGTGATGACAAAGCAAAAACTGGAGTGACGCAGCTGCAAGCCAAGAACATCAGAGATTGCTGACAACCACCAAAAGCTAAGGACTAGAAATAATTCTTCACTATAACTTCTGGAAGGAACAAGATAGTACCGACACCTTGATTTTGGACTGTTAGCCTCTACCGTAAGATAATAAATTTCTGTTGTTTTAAGCCATCCAACTTGTGTTAATTTGTTCTGGTAGTCCTAGGAAATATAGAGCTTTTATAGTTAGGGAAAATTAAGCTACGTACATAGTGCCGGTAATGATTTTCCCCACCTTTCAAAATTAAACTGTGCCTATTCCTTATGGGACAATTTAAGTAAAAGGTATAGTATTTCATGCTACTTAACCCTGTTTACTCAGAAAAACCTGAACCTTTGAAAAATACAACTTAAGACATAAGCTTTGTTCTTCTAGAATTGTAGGGACTTGGTATTTATGTACCTTGCTCACAGACCTTAGTTTAAATGGGTAACTATAATAGTCTAGAGGCCCGGTGCATGAAATTCGTGCACAGGAGGGGGGGGGTGTCCCTCAGCCCGGCCTGCACCATAATACGAGACCTCTTCGGGAATGTCCGACTGCCGGTTTAGGCCCGATCCCTGTGGGATCGGCAGTTGGATATCCTTCTCATAATCTGGGACTGCTGGCTTCTAACCACTCACCAGCCTGCTTGCCTGATCCCCCTAACTGCTCTCCCACGCCAACCTGATCCCCCTAACTGCTCTCCCTGCCGGCCTGTCTCCCCTGCCAGCCTGATCCCCCTAACTGCTCTCCCCCGCCCGCCTGATCCCCCTAACTGCTCTCCCTGCCGGCCTGATCCCCCTAACTGCCCTCCCCTGCCAGCCTGATCCACCTAACTGCACTCCCCTGCTGGCCTGATCACCCCTAACTGCCTCTGCCTTGGCACCCGCCACCATGGCTTTGTCCAGAAGGACATCCGGTCTAATTAGCATATTACCCTTTTATTAGTATAGATTACTAAGAATAAAGCAACAAAACCAAGAGACAGAGAAAATCTATACTAAATCCAATAAACTTTCTAACAAATCCTATATAATAAAAGAGAAACATGCAAATTAACCACCCCTCCTATGCTCAAGCCATGCCCACAAGCCACACCCACCAGCCAATCAGGAGCGAGTAAGCAAATTAACCCAACTAAAATGGTGGTGGCCATGGAACTGGAGCAAGCAGGAGGCTTGGGTTGCCCCTGGCGATGGAGGAAGCCAAGCTTCCTGCCTGCCCTGGCCGAATCTGGGCTCCGCTCAAGGCTACACAGTTTCAATTATAGAAGAAAAATAAATACCAGAAAAAAAAGAAAGAAAAAAAGGAGAGGCTGAAAGCTTGGGTCGCTGGGGGGGTGTGGCCAGCCTGAAAACAGCCATCAGCCCCTCACCCAGGCTGGCTAGGCACCAGAGTGGGACCCCCACCCTGATCTGGGACAGCCTTCAGGGCAAACCAGCCAGACCCTACCCGTGCACCAGGCCTCTATCTTACCTAATCTTACCTAATAGACAAACATGGTAATTGACCATACCTCCGCTACACTTCCCATTGGCTAATCAGCAGGATATGCAAAATAACTGCCAACCAAGATGGCGGCCGGCAGCCATGCAGCTGAAGTGAGCAGGAGGTTTGCTTGCTCCAGAGATGGAGGAAGCCAAGGTTCCCGCCTGTCAGCCCGGCTCTGAGCTCCAGTCTAAGCAACAATGTTGCAATTATAGAAGCTAAAGAAACCCCAGATACCTGCTTTTAGCCAGCAGTGGCCACGGAGTTGGGAGACTTTGGTTGCCCCTGGCGATAGAGGAAGCCAAGCCCTGGACCCAAGCTACAAAGTTTCAATTATAGAAGGTAAATAAATCCCAGGAAAAAAAAAAGAGAAAAAAG